AAACCCCGTCTCTACTAAAAATACAAAAATTAGCCCAGCATGGTGGCACATGCCTGTAATCCCAGCTACTTGGGAGGCTGAGGCAGGAGAATCACTGGAACCCGGGAGGTGGAGGTTGCAATGAGTCGAGATCGCACCATTGCACTCCAGCCTGGGCAACAAGAGTGAAACGTCATCTCAAAAAAATAAAAATAAAAATAAAGAATTTTCCAAGAAGTACTCTGAGAGTTGGAAGACAATGTTGGTGAAAGAGAAGTCCAAATTTGATGAAATGGCAAAGGCTGATAAAGTACGCTAGGATCGGGAAATGAAGGATTATAGACCAGCTAAAGAGGAGGCAAGAAGAAAGAGCCTAATGTCCCCAAAAGGCCACCGTCTGGCCTTTTATTTTATTTTATTTTATTTTTTTGAGACAGAGTTTTGTTCTTGTTGCCCAGGCTGGAGTGCAGTGGTGCAATCTCAGCTCACTGCAACTTCCATCTCCCAGGTTCAAGCGATTCTCCTGCCTCAGCCTCCGGATTAGTTGGGATTACAGTCATGTGCCACCATGTCTGGCTAATTTTTTTATTTCTAGTAGAGATGGGGTTTCACCATGTTGGCCAAGCGCGGCCTCAAACTCCTGACCTCAGGTGACCCACCTGCCTTGGCTTCCCAAAGTGCTGGGATTACAGGCATGAGCCATCACACCCAACCAACCATCTGGATTCTTCATGTTCTGTTCAGAATTCTACCCCAAGATCAAATCCACAAACCCTGGCATCTCTATTGGAGATGTGGCAAAAAAAAAAAAAAAAAAAAAAGAGATGTGGAATAGCTGAAGTGACAGTGAAAAGCAGCCTGACGTCACCAACGCAGCAAAGCTGAAGGAGAAATACGAGAAGGCGGCTGCTGACTATAAGTTGAAAGGAAACTTTGACAGCGCAAAGGGTCCTGCTAAAGTTGCCCGGAAAAAAGTGGAAGAGGAAGATGAAGAAAGAAGAGGAGGAGGACAATGGATGATAAAAACTGTTTCTATGCCAGGAGTGATGGCTCATTCCTGTAATCCCAGCACTTTGGGAGGCCAAGGCAAGTGGAGATCAGGAGTTCACAACCAGCCTGGCCAACATGGTGAAACCCCATCTCTACTAAAAATACAAAACATTAGTGTAGTGGGGGGTTGGTGGGGGTGCACGCCCGTCGTCTCAGCTACTCCAGACACTGAGGCAGGAGAATCACTTGAACCCAGGAGGCGGAGGTTGCAGTGAGCCGGGATCACGCCAGTGCACTCCAGCCCGGGTGACAGAGCGAGACTCTGTCTAAAGAAACAAAGAACAAAAAAAAAAAAGGTGGTTGAGGCCAGCCACAGTGGCTCACACCTGTTACCCCAGCACTTTGGGAGGCCGAGGTGGACGGATCACTTGAGGTCAGGAGTTGGAGACCAGCCTGGCCCACATGGTGAAACCCCGTCTCTACTAAAAATACAAAAAAATTAGCCGGGCGTGATGGCAGGTACCTGTAATCCCAGCTACTCCGGAAGCTGAGACAGAAGAATCACTTGGGCCTCAGAGGTGGAGGTTTCAGTGAGCAGAAATGGTGCCTCTAAGCTCCAGCCTGGGTGACAGAATGAGACTCTGTCTCAAGGAAGAAAAAAAAAAAGTAGGTTGGGCACAGTGGCTCAAGCCTGTAATCCCAGCACTTTGGGAGGCCAAGGTGGGTGGATCATGAGGTCAGGAGTTCGAGACCAGCCTAATCAACATGGTGAAACCCTGTCTCTACTAAAAATACAAAAATTAGCCAGGTGTGGTGGCATTCACGTGTAATCCCAGATACTCAGGAGGTTGAGGCAGGAGAATTGCTTGAACCCAGAGGCAGAGGTTGCAATGAGCCCAGATCACATCACTGCACTCCAGCCTGGGCGACAGAGCAAGATTCCGTCTCAAAAAAAAAAAAAAAAGGTTGAGGTTTTGGCAAGGCCTATTATTTAAACCACAGCCTAAATATCTTACAAAGTTAGCTTGGCCCAATAGCCCAGGAATAATTAAGGGAAAAGTAAGGTGGGGTTTGGGTTAACTTAGCTTACTGTTCTAATGTTCTCACTGATATAATTTTTGCAGTGGTGGTTTCATCAGTTGGGTGCAGGAAGATTGTGAGGGTTTGTTTGTTTCGTTTTTGTTTTTTGAAGCGGAGTTTCACTCTTGTTGCCCAGGCTGGAGTGCAATGGTGTGATCTCAGCTCACTGCAACCTCTGCCTCCCATGGTCAAAGGATTCTCCTGTCTCAGCCTCCGCTGGGATTACAGGCTCGCACCACCATGCCCAGTTAATTTTTGTATTTTTAATACAGACAGAGTTTTGCTAGGTTACCCAGCCTAGTCTCAAACTCCTGGGCTCAAGCGATTTGCCAGCCTCTGCCTCCCAAAGTGCTGGGATTACAAGGGTGAACCACCCCACTGATCAAGGGGAACATATTAATACTTTGTTTCTCTGTTTTGAGATGGAGTCTCACTCTCTTGCCCAGGCTGGAGTGCAGTGGCATGATCTCAGCTCATTGCAGCCTCTGCTTCTGAGGTTCAAGCCATTCTCCTGCCTCAGCCTCCCGAGTAGCTGGGATCATAGGCACGCACCACCACACCCGGCTCATTTTTGTATTTTGAGTGGAGACGGGGTTTTACTATGTTGGCCACGCTGGTCTTGAACTCCTGACCTCAAGTGATCCACCTGCCTCGGCCTCCCATAGTGCCAGGATTACAGGCATGAGCCACTGAGCCCAGCCAGAAACATATTAATACTATGAACAACACTCA